AAGAATTCAGAAACGCAAGAAGGAAGCAGGTGGAGAGAAAAATACGTAACAAGGGAAGTTGCAAGCTTTGGAGAGTAGGTGTTGAGATTAATTGAAAGATTCGGAGAAAAGATGCATGGAATCAATGAATTTGTGTTATCTTTTCGGAGCACGGAGAGAGGGAGGGAGAGGGGTTGCAATTCCAAAGCTACGGAGTCGAAGAAAAATGAGGGAGGAAAAGGAGGAAATCGTGGGCAGTCTGGGCAGCCCGTGGAGAGATGTGAAATTACAACAATGCCCTCAATTTTAACATATTTCTAATGCCGGATCAAACGGAGGACCGAATTGGTTAACATTTTCAAAATTAAGACTTAATTGTGCAAAAAATTGTCAAGGACCAAATTAATAATTTCGCTATAGTTAAGGGACCATTTCGGTAATTAACTCTTTTCGATATACATATTTATTTATCTATCAACAACTTTTTCTTTGCAAGGAGAAATCCAAATTACTTCACAAAATTCAGGAGTTAAATTGTTTTATTTTCTACCATCCCTATGAAAAGCCAAAAAAGTTTGCAAATTCGTTTGTTTTTAGACAAATTAGGAGTCATTACTTTTGTTTTTATTTGTTTTAATCATTATGTTAATGTTAATGTCATTGCTAAACAAGTGATACGGGCAGAAAATAGTGAGAGTCCGAGTCTGACGAGGGTAATAATGTTAGAAGACATGAGGGTTGACAAATTATATCGTGCACCGAGCTTCAAAACGACGTCGTTTTGTTTAATGAAAAGAAACGGCACCCGTTTCAGGCCGTTTCGCAAAAAGTAACTCTGTTATTCAATTTCATTTTGTATACACTGAATTTTCAGTTCAACACAACTACAGTTTCATTCGATATTTATACAATCAAATATGTGAAAATGTTATTTAATTTTATTTTATATACACTATAGTTTCATTAAAACACAACTACATGATCATTTCTATATAACTACAGCTTCATTGCACAATATACACTCAAATATGTGGAATGTTATTCAGTTTCATTTCACCACAACTACAGTATCATTTTGATATAACTGCAGTTTTATTTGATAATATATAAAATAATACGCGAGGCAGTGTCGGTTTAGATACACTGTAGTGTCGGTTTAGATACACTGTAGTGTCAGTTGGTAATTAACACACCAAAAAAAATGCATGCTCTGTTAACAGTAACGCGCGCCGTTTTGACCGCGGTGCACGTGCACCGTGGTCCACAATATAACAACTAGAGATATCATCAGCAGGCCCTAACTAGAGGAGACACCTTTAAGCCCGTACCATACTCAGACTAATCCTCGTTCGCACCGGGCCGACCCAATTAAGGGGTAAAGTGCTGGCCAGATTAGTTTTTCCATACAAGAGGGGGTTCGAACTCCCGACCTCTCTTAAGGGACAAGAGTGCACGGCCACTTACGCCAACCAAATTGGTTACTAATAGTACATTATTTGTGTATCAAATGTCCATTATTTGATAATATATAAAAAATCATGTACTTTAAAATAATGTACTTTATGTATACAAATAATGTATGTTTAGTATATTCAAAATGTACCTTGGATATTGCCTGGACAAAATTGTAGTGTTTGATGATCAAAATTCACATGGAAGCAACCTATTTAAAGTGCTTAATAGGCAACTACAAGCTTCAACTTCTTGAGGAAATTAGGGAAGACAAAACAATGTTCCACCCTGTTAGCAATATTATTATTATTATTATTTGTTACATCTTTATTAGTTATTGTAATAGGTTAAGACTTCTGTGGCTTTCCTGTTAGATAGGGTTTCTTTACACTGAGTTGTTTAGCTATTAGTATTGTAATTCTTATCCTTACGCAATTGAATCGATAACCAATTATCTCATCTGGTATCAGTTAGACCAGGTTCATTCTCTCTCCTCTCACCATCACTCCCTATCGTTTTTTTTTTCTTTTTCCCAAACACTGGCCGATCACCACCATGTCATCCAACTGCTCCGAGCGTACTGTTACTGCCGGCGGGGCTTCTTCTCCGGCCACAAATCAGAACACCTTGACCAGTGCCCATCACTTTGTTTCGATAAAATTAACCTATCGGAATTTTCTGTTCTGGAGAACCCAGTTGGTGCCATTCCTCCGTGGGCAGGAGCTCATGGCTATATTGACTGAAAAACCCATTGCCCACCGCCGACTGTTGATGCCTCCGGCTTCCGGCGAGTCCACTGCAACGACCGTCTCTCCGATCCCTAATCCGGCTTACAAAGCTTAGGTTAAGCAAGATCAGACACTGCTTTCGCGCCTCATCTCATCCCTCTCGGATTAGATGATGCACTCGCGGTAGGCAAAACCACATCCAAGGCAGTCTGGGACTCCATCGGCACGGCGCTCGGCAGTTCCACCCGTGCACGATGCCTCCGCCTCCGGCAGGGTAACCGTAGTGCGGCGGACTACCTTGGCAAATGCCTAACTGCTGGTGGAGGATCTTGCTCATGCCGGCCGGCCCATTTCGCTTGACGAACAGAACATGTTCGTGTTCCGGGGGTTACGCCCGGAGTATCGCGCCATGGCTTCCTCTTTGATGGCGACAGGTAATCCTGTCACAATCCCCCAGATCGCGGACTTCCTGCGAGCACAAGAGTTCATCCACGCCGAGGAATTCCCGGCCGGATCTGATGGTGGCCTCCTCGCTGCTCCGTCCGCGTTATATGCCGGTCGAGGATGCGGTGGAGGTCGTGGTGGTTCGAATGGCCAGAACCAGGGTCGCGGCAATCCAGGCCGTGACAGAGGTGGCGGCGGACGTGGCCGGAATGGCAGAGGCGGTGCTCCACGATGCCAGATATGCCGGTCACAAGGGCACACGGCCGTGTACTGCTATAAGCGGTATGCCCCTCAGCCGCCGGCGCAAGCCAATTTGGTAGTTCCCGGCGAAGACGCGGCAGCCGGATCCTCAACTCCGGGGTGGTTCCCGGACACTGGCGCGACGGCCCATGCCACACCCGATGCTTCCATGATGTCGCAGTCTGATGAGTACACTGGTGGTGATGTCCTGCGTGTTGGTAATGGCGCAGGTTTGATGATTTCGCGAGTGGGTCATGCATCTATACCGTCTGTGTCAAAAATGTTAAATTTGTCGAATGTGCTATATGTCCCACAACTTTCGGTTCCATTATTATCTGTTTATCGTTTAACGAATGATAATCATGTATTTTTTGAATTTCACAAGGACTGTTTCATTGCGAAGGATTCAATCACCCGGGCAGTTCTGCTTAGAGGTTCCACGTTGGGAGGTTTACACAAGCTCCCAGTTTCCCAGTCACATTTTGCCTTTCTCACGTCCCGCGCCACTCCGATAGTCTGGCACCGCAGGTTGGGCCATCCTCATACACACGTCCAAAATCAAGTCTTAAAGTCATGTCCGGTAGTACCAAATAAAGCCAAAACAGCGGGATCGTGCATGTCTTGTCATCTCGGCAAATCTTCCAGATTTCCCTTAGATAGAGTATCGTTATCTAGTAAAAATGTGTTGCATTTAATTTTCACCGACATTTGGGGCCCTGCTCTTGTAATCTCTACTAGTGGATTTCGTTATTTTCTGCTTTTTGTAGATGATTATTCCCGTTTTTGTTGGTTTTATCCCTTACGGGTAAAATCCGATGTATATAAAAGTTTCGAGTCGTTTCGGGTCATGGTAGAACGCTAATTTTCGCGTTCTATCAAGTCTATTCAGTCCGATTTGGGCGGAGAATACTGCAAATTACATCATATTTTTGAAAAATTAGGCATCGTTCACCGCCAGTCATGTGCGTACACGCACGAGCAAAATAGCAGAGTTGAACGTAAGAATCGGCATATCGTTGAAACCGGGCTAGCTCTCCTAGCCGAAGGTTCTGTCCTGCAACAATATTGGGACTATGCCTTTGAAACAGCCACTTGCCTAATCAACTACTTACCCACGTCAGTTCTAAAATTTGATAGCCCATACAGTCGTCTCTATAAAATCTCACCGCCATACACATTCCTCCGAATCTTCGGGTGTCGGTGTTACCCCTATCTAAGGCCTTAAAATCGGCACAAGATGGAGTATCGCTCGACACCCTGTGTCTTTCTAGGGTATCCTCCTTCCTTTAGGGGCTATAGATGCATAGACTTAACAAGTGGAAAAGTTTATATTTGTCGTCATGTATGCTTTGATGAAACTATTTTTCCCTTTTCAGACTTAGCTGTACATGACACGGCTTCAGCAGTGCCACCCGTATTACCGTGGGCCTCTGGGCCGATTATATCACAACGTTAGTGCACGGCCCCCATTGACTTTGGTCCCCACAGACCGCCGAGTCCAACACCCTTGGCTTAACATTAGTGCACGGCCCCCCATTGACTCTGGTCCCCACAGACCGCCGAGTCCAACACCCTTGGCTTAGGAGCCCGCCCCTTTGGCCATTGAGGGCCCCATTAGGGCCATAACACGCAGAAAGCGGACTATCAGGATGGAGCCTCAAGATCGAGGGCATGTAATGAGACTTCGGCATATGACCCAAGGTACTGGTGAAGAATTCCAGGCCCTAAGTGTAACCACTTATCCCACCTGCTATTCGCAGGCGGTTGGGCATCCAGAATGGCATGATGCGATAGATCAAGAATTTAATGCAATATTGCATAATAACACATGGGCTCTTGTACATCCTAAGCCAGACATGAACATCATTGGTTGCAAGTGGGTGTTTCGCACCAAACGCACTGAAGATGGCTCTATAAAGCGGTACAAGGCCCGTCTGGTCGCAAAGGGGTTCAATCAGGTGGCATGTGAAGACTTCTTCGATACTTTCAGCCCTATGGTCAAACCGACTACGGTTAGGCTGCTTTTCTCGCTCGCTGTCTCACACAGCTGGACACTGAGGCAACTCGACGTCCACAATGCTTTTCTAAATGGGCACTTAGCTGAAACAGTCTATATGAAATAACCTCCGGGATATGAAGACCCGACGCACCCAGATCATGTGTGTTACCTACAGCGGTCTCTGTATGGACTCAAACAAGCTCATCGAGCATGGTTCAAGAGATTGCATGATTATTTACTCTCTGCAGGTTTTTCATCCTCGAAGACAGATGTTTCTCTTTTTCATTACTCCCGCTGGCGCCTCCCATGTATACTTGCTAGTATACGTCGATGACATTATTATGATGGGAAATGACCCCACACTCATTACCTCCCTTCTGCACCGCCTGTCTGCAACTTTCAAAATTCGAGATCTTGGTACTCCCGGGTTCTTCCTTGGAATCGAAACTTTAAAGACTGACACCGGTCTCATGCTGTCTCAACGCTGTTATATGAATGACATTCTGACCCGAGCCGGTATGGCTGATTGCAAACCTCTAGCCACTCCGGCTGCGGTCACTCAGCCTGTTTCGAGTGCCGCCGTGCCGCATGACAATCCGACCCAGTACCATCGTGTTGTCGGGGCTTTACAGTACTTAACTATCACTAGACCAGATCTATCACATGAAATCAATCGCCTCTGCCAGTTTATGCACACTCCGACCGCCGATCATTGGGGATTGGTCAAGCGAGTGTTACGATACATCAAAGGCACTCTCGACTATAGTCTTCGCCTCACGGTATCCGAGACCTCTGCTATCCATGCCTACTCAGACTCAGATTGGGTAGGGTGTTCGCTCGACAGGAAGAGCACTGGTGGCTATGCAGTGTTCTTAGGGTCCAACCTAATCTCCTGGCTTTCCCGAAAGCAACGCACGGTGGCCCGTTCGTCTACTGAAGCCGAGTACAAGGCCCTAGCTGACGTTGCAGCAGAAGTCACGTGGGTTGTATCATTGCTACGGGAACTTGGGCTTCACTCCGGCATACCACCACGCTCTGGTGTGACAATTTGGGCGCTACCTACTTGTGCGCTAATCCTGTTTTTCATGCCAGAACCAAGCATGTGGAGATTGACTTCCACTTCGTTCGAGACAAGGTTGCATATGGGGATCTGAGGGTTAATTTTGTGTCAACTAAAGATCAACTAGCAGATATTTTCACCAAGCCGCTTCCAGGGCCGCGTTTTGCAACTCTTCGTGACAAGCTCAATGTTGTGGCTCACCACCCTTGTGCTTGAGGGGGTGTGTTAGCAATATTATTATTATTATTATTATTATTATTATTATTATTATTATTATTATTATTATTATTATTATTATTATTTGTTATTATTTGTTACATCTTTATTACTCATTGTAATAGGTTTAGACTTCTGTGGCTTTCCTGTTAGATAGGGTTTCTTTACGCTGAGTTGTTTAGCTATTAGTATTGTAATTCTTATCCTTACGCAATTGAATCAATAACCAATTACCTCATCCACCCAAAATAAGCTCGTTCACATAATTGTACACTGTTGCACACAGAATTGTATATTGTTGCATACACAAGTGTACCTTATTGCACATAGCAGTGTTAAAAGTTGCACACAAAATTGTACAGTATTGCACACAACAGTGTGTATTGTAGCACGTATGGGTATACACTGTTGCATACAGTAATATACATAGTTGCACCAAGAAGTGCACACTGTTGCACATGGAAGAACGATGTGCTTCTTGTACTGCGCTATTAAAAAAACAAGGAATAAGGATCAAATAGGTCATCCAAGTACACACCAAATTGCAATTGGATTCTTGAACAACAAAAATTAATACAATTTAACTTAAAATGACTTGTTTACCTCTTAATATGCTGGCATGTCCATTCCTTTATTTAAAAATAATTTTTAAAATTTTATTTTAATAATTTTAAATAAAGTAATTGTTTTAAAATTTAAAAAAAAAAAATTCAGTTGGAAACGAAGGAACCCTTCATCTCCATGGTTGGCTGGCCGAAGACAAAGGGTCCCCTTTGTCTCCGAACAGCCATGAAGACGAAGGATCCCCTTTCTCTCTGGCAAGTCTGGAGGTTTTTTTTTAAAAAAAAAAAATTTAAAATAATTATTTTACTTCAAATTATTAAAATAAAATTTAAAAATTGTTTTTAAATAAAGGAACCGGCATATCAGCATGTCAAGAGGCAGACAAGTCATTTTAGGTTAAATTGCATGAATTTGTGTTGTTCAGGGACCCAATTTTAGTTTTTTTTTTTTTTTTTTTTTTTTTTTTTTTTTTTTTTTTAGTTGCCTAATTATAGTTTGGTGTGTAGTTAGATGACCTATTTGACTCTTATTCCAAAAACTAGTTTTACATGTGCATTGCGCGCGAATGAGTTAATGCTCAATGTTTATAATTAAATAAATATTTGAAAGTATATCAATATATTATATATGAGAAGTTCATACATAAGTAATTTAATGTCGAATTTGTTTATTTAAATATGTAACTCATATATGAATACAAGACAAAATATGAGATTCATTATAATTATCACTAATATATTTAATGAATGCACATACACATTTAAATATGTAACTCATATATGAATACAAGACAAAATATGAGATTCATTATAATTATCACTAATATATTTAATGAATGCACATACAAGTGAATGAATCAACGGTACCGTCCTTTAGGTGTTTTGCTCAACCATTATTGTTGAATAAATTATTATGGATAAAGAAAAACCTAATTTAAGGAATTTAGATGAAGTAGTAAAAATTTAAAATTTTCTAAATATAATGTAACCCAAAGATATTAGACGGTTGGTAAATATGATGTAACCCAAAGATCAAAATGCTAAAGGAAGTGTTTGGTGTTTCAACAGTTTGGAACAACAATTTTTTCCAAACCACTGAAAATACAAACACTGCAATTTACAATATTTTCACTTAGCGTTTTGGAGAATGATTTTCCTAAAACATCCCTGTATTAAAAAAAATGTTTACTGTAGAGCCATTTCGACTTCATGAATAATAAGAGCCAGTTTAGTTGGCTCACTGCTTGCCCATCAACGGATGGACAAGCTTAATTTAAAATTAGAGTCTTGAAGCTCCTTTTATAAGAGCCTCAACGCTCCCATGCCACTTTTCCCACCGATGTGGGAAAAATGGCAAAACTAAAGGGAACCGAACGTTCGGCTCCCCATATGTTTTATTTTATTTTATTTTATTTTTTTTTTAATTTTATTTCTTTTATTAAATTATTATTATTATTATTATTATTATTATTATTATTATTATTATTATTATTATTATTATTATTATTATTATTATGTATACCATTTAGGTCACTTTACATATTAATCTAAACAGGTAATTGTTTCAAATATCTTTTTACCAATAGCTGATATAATTTGTTGGTCAAACCCGCTAATATAATCCGTTATTTGCTAACTGCTAACACAATCCGCTAACTGCTGATTGCCAAACAAAGACATTGCGAGGTAGTTTCCCACTTCAAATTGTTGTGTGATTTGAATATTCTCTTTGTCATCAAATCCCCAAGTAGTTTATATGATTGGCTTAATTATATATATATATATATATATATATATATATATATATATATATATATATATATATATATATTCCATAGTATTAATAAAATACTTGGTAAATAAATATATAACATTATTTTGTATTATAACTTTGATATTTAATTAAAAAATAGTGTAAAAAAAAAGATAATAGACAATGTAGTGAATATAATCAATTGATGAATTTGAACGTAAAGAATTTTTACATTGGAGAAAAATAAAGACAATATAACTAATAAAATTATTCCTCTTAATTAATTTATTGAGAATGAATTTTTTTTTTTTTTTTGAAAAATGACATTGTGAGACAATGTAGTGAATATAATCAATTGATGAATTTGAATGTAATTAAAGAATTTTTAAATTGGAGAAAAATAAAGACAATATAACTACTGAAATGATTTCTGTTATTTAATTTATTGATATAATTTTTTTTTGAATAAAGGCATTGTAGACACATAATTCTAAATTTAAAAAAAGCATATGTATTATTTTTTGTTGTAGCTACTAAATTATTTAATTTAATAAGACTAAAATAGAGTACTAATTATGCCAACTTTAATTGAGATGGGGTTCGGACCGAAGACCTTTCTTATTGAAATCAATGTGTAAGTTAACGGAGAATATAATTGTTAAGGGAATTTTGATTGTGATGGGGTTCGAACCTAAGACCTTTCTTATTGAAATCATATAATTAAGGATAAATTTGGAAATCTCAAGGAAAAATTAAAATCTGAACAATCTGAACCATTCATTTGATTTAATAATTTGACGACAATTTTTTCTAGAAATAAATTAGTAGCTACAACAAAAAATAATATATATGAATTTCTTTAATTTAGAATTATGTGTCTACAATGCCTTTATTAAAAAAAAATTTATTCATTATCAATAAATTAAATAAGAGAAATAATTCCGTTAGTTATATTGTCTTTATTTTCTCCAATGCAAAGATTCTTTACATTCAAATTCATCAATTGATCATATTCACTACATTGTTCATTGTCCATAGATATTGTTATAATGATATAGTAAAAATTAACTTACAAATTTCTTCAAAAGTTTTCACGCATTGATAAAATTCTGAGAATGATGTGTAAACTTTTTCAATTAGAGCCAATGGGATGTCAACATTGTCAATTCTTTGAAAAATGGTTCTACCGTTTTAGAGTCTAGGCGTAGTTGTATTTATGATCAACAACTTTGTAGTTACGTCGCGCAGGTTTAACAATGATGTAAGAACAATTTTGTGTTGACAAGAAAGCTCGCAAGAATATATAATTAGCACAATAAAAATAAAAATAAATAAACAGCACCAAGAAGAATACCGATATTTTTAACATGGAAAAATTAAACCTCCTCAAGGCAAGGAGTAAAAAACTACGGGCACAAGCCAGTAAAATCTCCACTATATAGACAATGTGTACAACAGATGAGACTTCTCTAATTCAATTATTAGAGGCAACACAATAACAAGAGAAAATAATATACACCAAAGCACAAGAATTTCTACGAAATCCACCAACTTCTTTGTTGGAAAATGGTGAATAAATCGATACACAAAATATATATAAAATATATATATGTCCCGAAAAATGGAATTTAATTTATAAAAAATTAATTCCAACAAATTTTGGTTCGAAACCAAAATTACATATATATACAGCGTATGTATATTAACCAAATTGGGATTTATTTTATCAAAATAATCCCACCACAACTAGTACGAGACTAGTACACGAGACTTAATTTCCACGAAATTAATCCCACCACAACTAGCACGAAACTAGTACAAGGATTTAATCTTTCTAAGATTAATCCCACCACTTGGTCCAAAACCAAGAACGAAATAAAATAAGAACGGGTTTCTAACCTGAGGTTTAACCCAACGCGAAGAAACAAGAAGAAGCAGATGAAGCCCGAGTCGTGTGTACACACACTCTCCTTAAAACCGATTCGCCACCTCCCGAGGGTGCTAGGATCGTTGTGGCGTCAGTCTCCCAGGATAAAACGGACTACGACTTTGGCGTTGGAGCACTCCAACCCAATGCCCGGCGAACTAGAACACAAGTTGAGCACTCCGATGTTTTCAGAAGATGTTGGCAGAAATTTCCCTTTGTAAACGAGATGAGAGTAGAGAGAAAACAAAGAAAGATTTTGAGAGTTTCAACAAGAATGTGCCCAAAAATTCTGCCAACCACCCAAGGTATTTTTAGGGATAGAGGAATTAAATAGCATATTCATGGCCATTAACCAATATAAATTTAAAATTTAATAATTGGATAATAACGTTTGAAACGGTCGTAATTATTATCGTAATAATTCCAACGGTCACGAACTTAATACGCGATTAATTCGTACCGACCACAACGACCCGTTTCAAAATATCTGAGTGACCGAGAAGTCCGTAGAAACCCGAAGGTTTAACGAATTGGGACCGGAAACCACACCCGAGTGGTCCGCAAGCACCGAAACGGTGCAGCACGAATCAATGCATATAACATTTGATTCGTGCACACCGAATCCACAGCACGAA